TAGAGGAGAAAGGCATATTACGTGGCTGGTTTTTCTCACCTCCTGTCCTGTCAGCGAGGATCTTTTCAGGGAGATCTGACTGGAACACACACCTGTGATGTGTGGCTTTAGCTTCTTAGTGCTGCGCTTTAACCTGCTGTGCCATCAGGGAGGGCCCGAAACTCTGGGTTTTTAATACTTAAACTACATTGCATGGCAGTCAGAAAGGACCAGGATGGCTGCTCCTGTCTTAGTGCCAGTCTTCTAGTTGCTTCTTGCTAAGAAGCAACTACCTTTCCCAATCAGGCTATTAATCTGGGAAAGGTGTGTGAGAAGTTTCGGTATGTAGGCTTGAGGCAGATGCTGGTTAGCAGAGAGGGCTTGGGAGAGGGTGAGGTGAGTAACATCTTTAGAAAGAAGAGGGAGATCTGAGGTTTGTGTCCAGTACAATCTCTCTCTTGTGCTACCCAGATCTACTCAAGCCCTCTCATTATCTCTGGATCCTACAATTAAATAGGGCACCGCCATTTCCTCAGAAGAATGCAATGAAAGAAGCTGCCAGTTTGGTCTTCCTGCAGTAGTATTGTCTCACCCTTTTACTTGTCATTATCTAGGTACCTTCGTACGGAACTCTTTAGGTCCTTAATCCTCAACCTTTCCCCCCCTCTCGTGAAATGAAATACTGCGGGTTAAGATTTTGTCAGAAAGGGCTGCATTTTGGAGAGCGACGGCCCTTTTGTTTTCACCTTCAAGTACTAGTTTTTGGCCAGTTGGGGGCGACATTGTCTCTGTTGAGAAACCTGGTCTAGAGACCCCTTGATGGAGGTTACCTAACTTGAGCTCCTGGAAAACGAAGGCAGGAATATTAAAGAAAGTTGTTTGGGTCTTCACTGGCCCTGAGGCTCTGGCTGATACTATCTCTCTCCTCCATGCTTTAGACGCCCCCTTGACTCACTCTTTGGCTTATTTGGAATGTTTGCAATGGACCCAGAACTTTCTCCAAGGGGAAATTCTTAACTGCCCTAACCTTTTGTGCTGTGGTGGATGTAATTGCATTTCCCAGCCTTCCCTCCAGAGTTTTGAGTTACTCTGGTTCAAGGTTCATTTTCTCTGCCAAGACGAGAAATTGTGGAGGACAGAACCTGAGCGCTAGGCTGTGTACAAAGGATACTGTTGTTTACTCATCATTACGGGCGCCTGAAATTTGCTTAGTGATGATCAACATTAGCCTTTTAGCGTTTGCCACTTCTGCAGACTAGGGTGGGCACCCACACGCTGGAGAGTGCCCTTGAGTGATTTAGCACCCAGCTGTCCCAATGGAGGTGAAGAGTAGGAAGTTTGGAAAGAAGGCATCATAAGACCAGAAACTGCCTCACACAGGCCAAGAGCTGGAGGTGGAGGTAGAAATGATTAATATAGTCATTAAACCAGCTATAGAAGTGAAAAATCTTTAGGGCCAACTGATATGCAAATATCAGATGCTATAGCTGCTATATAGAAAGCTTCCCAGGCGCAACCCAGAGGTGGAATATGGAGATGGAGGCCACTGTAGGGAATCACTTGTCCTTACAAATCAACCTAGTCGCACCCTAGAAGTAATTAATTTCACAAAAGTCAACAACTCCACAAAGAAACGAGCCCCTCCCAAAGAGAAGGTACATCAAATTCAGCGCTGGCCTGGGCTGCCCATGTGCCTGCTGGTGATGCTGCAGGGTCTCGGGTTGCCAACCTGCTCCCTTTGCAAAACATCATTGACGGAGCCTCCCAGGGTCACCCGCCTGGACCACCCAGACCTCTCTCTTAGCAAACCTGACCCTTCAGGACAGCTTTTTTCTACCTGTTGTGTCTCTGTGTCTTTCACTCTTCTCTCCCTTTTATAATAAACTTTTCGGAGAGCACTAAGTGTCTCACAGAAGCACGTGTGAAAATCTCCAGTTTAAGGATTTATCTGCTTCCAAGTCTTGCTATTTCTGGGAACAGCACTCTTAGGATTTGTAGAAAGCATCCCAAGCATATTAACATATTACTGTTTATTTTATTTGCAGGAATGACTCATTATTGGTGAGTGTTGCTCATGTGGAAACAGTTACAAACAAGACTGGCTGATCGGGTGGCAGCTGCTTCTCCCCAGAGTGGCTTGGAAGTGCAGGCAGCTTCGTGGGCTCCGGTGTCACTGTCTCCTGTCCTTGCTTTGACACCCTGACTCTGAGGATTCCTCTGAACTCGCAGCCTCTCTATGTTGATTATGACACTTTCATTCCTGCAGGAGAATTAGGATTCTTTTTGCAATTTTCCTGATTTTTTAAACTACATTTTCTGGAACTTTAGACTTAAAATCATTTTTTCGAGAAATGCTGGGCAGGAATTCCCACATGGACATTCTTTTCCTACCACTGTGACTAATCCTCCCTTTCATCACCACTTAAATAGAGACTGCTCTTTCTTCCGATGGAGTCACAGTTCACCCTCTTCCTTTTGAGTTTCAAGTTCATTTTCTGTATGGTTTGTGCCATTCAATCAAAATAAAAGGAGACATAGAAATGCAGTCGCAAAATTTCCTTTTGTTGGGTCTACCACATGGTGTACATGCATTGTGTTCTGACGTGATTTGTCCTGGGTGTTGAACGCCAGCCTGCTAGCCCCAGAGTTTTACCCTTTCCTCTAACACGCAGTTGGAGACAAAGACGTTTTTAATACATGTTAGAGCCGTGACCATAACCAGAATAAGAGATACTTAGCAATTCCTTTCCAAGCATCAAATGTAGTTTTGAAAAGAAAAGAAAGCAATCAAAATATAAAGTGCTAATCTGGGCAAAATATGAGAAGGCAGAAGGATAGTGCTGTGATGGCAGGAGGTTGTGTGCCAAATAAATCTATATAAGCCTCAGGTTCCTTAGGAAATAACTGTCTTCCCCTCAAAAAGAGTAACATGGTCTTATTTAACACAAATTGCTTAAATTCATTAGTTGCCTAAAGATGCAAAATTAATAAAGAACACAAAATCGTCCATCGGTCTACAAGCACAGAACATAGCTGTTACTTTTCTGGTGCATTTCTATTCATTATTATGCATGTGTGTTTTTTTTATAAACTTGTGCTGCTATTATAAATGCAGTGTTTGCTTTTATCACTTACAGTTTCAGTGATAAACATTCCTTCTTGTGATTAAATATTCATTTAAACATAATTTCCAAAACATATGAAGAACGCCTACAATTCAACAAACAAAAACAAACCACCCAATCAAAAAAAAAAGGGGGGGGGCAAAGAACTAGTTATTACTCCAAAGAAGATATTCAGATGGCTGACAGACACAGGAAAAGTACCCAATAGCACTAATTATAAGGGAAATGAAAATAAAAACCACAAGGAGATGTTCCCTCATCCCTGTGAGAATGGTCTATCTCAAAAAGATTAGTAATGACCAGTGTTGGCAAGAGAAGCAGAAAAAGGAACATGGATTCACTGTTGGTGGTGGGGAGCAGAATGGAGAGTCTTCAAAAAAAAAGGAAATTTCATCTGATTCAGCAACACTACTTCTAGGTTTCTTTTTTTAATATTTTTAATAATATTTATTTATTTATGCATACAGAACTGGGGTACAGGCTAGAGATGCAGGGGAGGTGAGAGGATTCACCAGAGACAGAGTGGGGAGCAGAACAGGCCGACTGACAAAATTCACTGCTGAGGGGAGCAGCGGGCAGGTCAGGAGAGGTCTGCTGTGCCATGTGGATCACCTCTGGGGTGGTGATCGAACTCATGCTGAAGTAGCTTTAGCGTCTTAGTGCTGTGCTTTAAACTGTTGCACCACAAGGGAGGGCATACTTTTAGGTTTTTACCAAAAGAATATGAAAACTACAGATAGGGAAGGATTTCTGCTCGTCGGTGTTCAGAGCAGCACAATTTACAGTAGCTGAGCCATGGAACACACCAAGGTGCCTGTTCACAGCTGCCTGGCTAAAGAAATCGTGGAACATATACTCAGTGGAGTACTACTCAGCCGTTACAAAAGATGAGCTAGTGCCTTGGGGGACCACAGGTACCGATGTTGAGGCAAGGATGCTCAGTGAAATAAGTCAGAAATTGAACGACAGTGGATGTTTTCACTCACTTGAGGAGTGTAAATAACCAAAGAAACAATAGGCAACACAGAACAAAACTAATTTTTAAACTCTGAAAGATATGCAGATTTCTATAGGATATGGCAGAAGGGAGGAGGGGGAAGGGAAGGCAGGCGATAGGGCTTGGCACTCGAATTTTGGGAAGGGTGAGAGCAGCATGTCTTCACACATGGAGGTGTGAACTTGTATCCCCAACTCATATGTTGATAGCTATGTAAACGACTGCCAAATCAATACAATCTGGGGGGGGGGGGCAAGGGAAGGAACAGCAGTTGTTGAAGAGGAGCACACTAAGGTGGAAGGAACAGTGGCGCCACCTGCTGCATGATCTATGAACAGCGGCACAGGAAGAGCAGGGAAGGCGGAATTACAGGGAGCAGCCCACGTCGCCCACGCAAGCCGTGAGGCGTTACCCGGAAGTCGTCTCCCCTATTCCAGCGTGGCCGGTACACAGCAGGTGCTTACTCAGTGCATGCTAACTCCTTACTATTTCCTGGCATGGCAGAATGAAAGAAAAACCAAGACAACTGGATAGGCTGTTGGAATAAAGAAAAAGAATACAGCTAGTAATATTGCTTGCCATACATTTGTGTCTAAAACAACCACAGAATGTTTCTTTGGGTAAAATATGTCAGTGAACTGTCCTTAATGAAGGCATGTTTCCCGGGATGGATGAATGTCTTGCCTTCTCAGGAAGCCGCTGTCTAAAGGTAGCTAGCTATTCACTCTGTGCGTGTGTGTGTGTAAGAGGGTGAAAGCAGAGTCAGTACCCACAGTTCTTACGCTGCAAGTTTTGTCCAAATGTTCACATCTTACTCAGAGCTCTCCTGGGAAATGATAATTTTCTATTTGTGGTTTACAGCTCCTCATCACAGCAACGGGTAGACGCGAGCCCCAGTACCCCGCAGCCTTCATTTGGTCCCGGACGCAGCTTTGTGGACGATGGCGTTCCTCAGAGCTCCCTTGACATCCTTATTCCTGAGAGTGTAAATCAGGGGGTTCAGTAAGGGGGTGACGAAGGTGTAGACCAGGGCGATTTGGCGGTCCTCGTCCTCTGAGGCGCTAGAGGGGGGGCGCAGGTAGACCAGGCTGCAACAGCCATATTGCAGCAGGACCACCGTGAGGTGTGAGGAGCAGGTGGAGAAGGCGCGGCGGCGGCCCTCGGCCGAGCGGATGCGCAGGATGGCGCGGGCGATGAACACGTAGGAGACACAGATAAGCAGGAAGGGGACGGTCAGAACGAGGATGCCCACCACGTAAAGGACCGCCTGGTGCAGGCGCGTGTTGGCGCAGGCCAGCCGCAGCACGGGAGGCACGTCACAGAGGAAGTGGTTGATTTCTCGCCGGTGGCCGCAGAAGGGGAGGGTGAAGATCAGGGCTGTGAGCTGCAGGGACAGGAAAAGGGCCAGGCCCAGCGCGCCCGTCACCATCTGGACGCACAGCTTCTGGGTCATGATGAGCATGTAGTGCAGGGGGTGGCAGATGGCCACGTAGCGGTCATAGGCCATCACGGCCAAGAGGAAGCAGTCGGTGCTGCCCAGGGTGACAAAGAAGAACATTTGGGCACCACAGCCAGCCAACGGGATGGGCTTCTGGGCCCCCCAGATGTTGGAAAGCATCAGAGGCACCACCACGGTGGTGTAGCAGATTTCCAGGAAAGACAGGTTGGACAGGAAGAAGTACATTGGGGTGCGGAGGGAGCTGTGTGTGCACACCACCCAGATGATGGCCGTGTTGCCACAGAGGATCATCAAGTAGAGCAGGAGGAAGAAGAGGAACAGGAGGGCCTGGAGTTCAGGGACAGCCGTGAACGCGCGGAACACAAACTCCGTGGGACCCGACTGGTTGAAGACGGGGCTCGGGGTAAGCATGTCTGACACCTGCGGAGGAAGAACAGAAAGCACCCCAACTTCGCTTATTGCTTTATTACTTGAACCGAAACAGGGATTTAAAGTTTGATTTCTGATTTGGTATGGCCTATTAGGAATTGCTTCCGATGACAGTGCTTGCAAATTAATTCACTGTGGAGAACGTGTTTTTCCTTGAAACGCTTTAAGGGGATACTCATCTGTAGATACTTACAGGCCTGTGTTCTTGGTGACAAACACATGCAGACGTTTCTGGTGTAATTTCTTTTTTTTTATTCTGGTGCTTTTAATTTAAATGATATGGGCTAATTCTTTGCTGGTATTTAATTCAACTAAAATGTATTAAAATGATACAAAGAGGCCCTCCCTGGTGGCACAGCGGGTTAAAACACAGCACTGAGACGCTAAAGCCACTTCCGCATGAGTTCGATTCCCGCCTGCCCCGGAGGTGACCACATGGCGCGGCAGACCTCTCCTGACCCGCCCGCTGCTCCCCTCAGCAGTGTACTTCATGGATCTGGCTGTTCTGCTCCCCACTCTATCTCTGATGAATCCTCTCACCCTCCTCATCTCTGGCCTGTACCCCAGTTCTGTATGAATAAATGAATAAATCTTTAAAAAAAAATGATACAAAGAATGCAATTTGCCCACAAAGAAAGACTCTTGCTTCATGATTAATCACTATATATAATTCAAGACTGGGGAAGTTACTATGTAAAATCTAATTTGAAAAGTTAACTGATAAAGGTTGTATTTTTACCTCAAATGGGTAATAAAATAGTTAAATGCACAAACATTTCAAAGATAATTCTTGGAAACACGTTGCGATATAACAAAATTAATGTAGTTATGAAGTTTTGAAGTCACAAATGACATAATTGGGAAATTGCTAGGGAACCATGGGAGAAATGAAAATACATTCATTTCTTCAAGCTATCTAAGGAAAGATTTTAGAAGCATTTTCATTTAAACGTGAGGAGAAATAGCTATTCAAACATGTATTTGAATATTAACCATCAGTTGAAATAATGCCACAAACCCATTCCAAATGATCTGATTTAAAATGACCAATACAGTAATAAGATAAAATGAGAAGAGATTTCAGTAAAATAATTATAATTATCGTATCGACAGGACCAAATAAGAGGTCTTGGATGGGTCTTAGAAAAACATTAGTCCATCTTGAACGTCAAACTGTATTGTACTGAAATGGGAACAATTTCAGTTTGTTGAAATTGTTTAAAGCAAAACAGGCTACCTCTGTGGATAAAGCAAGCCCTGTTGTGTCGGAGTTCTAGACAAGTCACAATTAGGGCGATTTCTAGGAAAAGCTAGCATGCATATCCAAGGTGAGGCTGTAAATTATTGAAAAACCAGGCACACCTGAGTTTATATACACAAATCAGGGTTTTTCCTTCAATGCCCCCTTTTAAAAGCATTTTCAATTACTCTACTGGCATTAACCTTCATCAAACCATTTCTGATGCTCCTTTAGGGATTATTTTCAAAGACTGCACATTTTCTTAAATGTCAACAGCTGTGCCATATATTTACATTTCGAAGATACATTTCCTTTTCTTAATAGCAAAACATTTGAGATGAAATGCAGTGAATACACTGGTTGCCACAGTTTTGCACTACTGAGTTTGATCACAGTTGAGTTGGTGAGGCTAATCTTGGGTGGTAGAAATATACATTTTCTTCTGCTTTTATGTAATAAACAATAAACATCATTGTTATTAGGTTTTTCATTCACAATGTGTGGTAGAATTGATGTGAAAATTTCTCTTGTTCCTGTTTTTGATCACAAAATCAAGTAATTGATTCTTCTATTCAAATTCAACACTTTAGCTCACTCACCTTGATTTAAAATGACCAATACAGTAATAAGATAAAATGAGAAGAGATTTCAGTAAAATAATTATAATTATCATATCGACAGGACCAAATAAGAGGTCTTGGATGGAACAGAAAAAATATCTTATCATTTTGACATTTCTAACTGGGTAATGGGTTGATTGCCTCTAAAAAAGTTTTTAATAGCTATTTCCCCTGTGCAGGTGCTTTATTTCAAGTTCACAAGATTTTGGTGAAAATAAATTTCTCTATTCTGAGTCTATCATCTTAGTGTATGATCGATCTGAGGCATTCAAAACTTCATTTCTATGTCACCTAACAGTGCAGACAAATCCATAGGCTGCATTTGTTATTCTAAGTCTTCTTAGCAAACTTCCAATGTTGTTGTCATCACTTTCCACGATTAAGGAATTCATATTCCTTCTTGAAGATCTGACACTTAAAACACTCAATTCCTGGCAATAAGACTTTGATAGACATTTCAATGAAGCCTGTGTTTGCTACTTATGAGGGCTTCTGTCTTCTCTGCTATATCACTACCCCAATTGATTGGATCTGACCTGAATTGAATTAGTTTATAGTTATATTCCATGTTCTTTTGGTATTCAGCCCATTTATGTTTCAATTACTTTAGTCCCTTCATAGATTGGGGTTTTCTCAGCTGGATGATTATTTTGTTTTTCTTTGAGGGAGGGCTCATGGGGGCTGGAGTCAGTTAATAAATGGATGGCAGGAAGCAGGGCAGTGAAATTATTGATGTACTGGTTGACCAGTAAGTTTGGTACCATTGGGGGAGCTCATGTAGGCTGATGAAAGCCATAGGACAGTATGGACTGTCTGTGATCTTCTAAACCACAGACAACGTGCATATAAAACCAAAAGACTTGAAAATGAGAGGGACCATGCAATTATGGCAAGTCCAGTCATAGCCCAAACCTGTGCTCACGCATGTAGCATACACGAAGTTGAATCCCTACATACGGGAACTAAAGGGAACTCAAGCTGTATCTAGTTCCATTCTCTCATATCCTATATGTAGAAACTGAGGCCTGTGATGATTAAGCCTTGTTCAAAGGCATGTGGCTAGTTATGGGCGTATCTGAGCCTGGAGCCTGCTGTCTATTTGTTTAGTTAGCAAGGGGAAGTCTGCACACAGGCTTTTAGTATGTCTCACTTTTCACCAACTCCAAAGGCTGTAACTTAGTTAAGAGAGTCAGGCATGAGACAGAAAGGACACTTCCAGTGGTTCTGGAAGTGCTGCTGAAAAACTGACTCTATCTCAGTCTGATGCCTTCCATAGGTAAGGGAAGCAACATCTTTGTTGGAATAATCAAAAGCTCTTCTCAACATCTCCAAGTTAATCAGAACTTTAGGAGATACTCTCTCAACAAGAGTGTGGGTTCTGGATTTGCCATTTACTAATATTAGAACCATGGAAACAGTTAATTTTTATGAGTCTCAGGATTCGAGGTACAATGGGAATACTGTGGTTACCCTGCTGAGTTATTGTGAGAAGTAGCAGTAATGGCCGATTATTGACGTGGTGACATCTAGTAGGTAGATATTCTTCTTCTATTGTTCTTGTTGGACTCTCTGCCCCTCTTCTACTGAATCACTTTTAGTTCTTTTCCAAGCTCTTTCTTGCTCTGGGAAGCTTGGATAGCCCTTTGCATTATCTATTCTGTATGCCTTGGACAGATATGCTTCTCCACTTTGGACCCATCTTACTCTTTCTTCAGAACTCAGTTCAGAAGCCATTTCTACCAGAAAGGTTTCCCTGATCCCCAAATTTTCCCAACGCTAGTAACAGTGCTCCCAGTAGGAACTCCCCCAAATTTTCCTCACCTTCACTCTAAGGTGATGGTAACTTATCAATAAATAAATCAAGCAGATCAATATTTATTATCTGGTATCAACTCAGGTCTTTCAGGGGCATCAGAAATTTATATGACATGATTGCCAACTCCCACCTCATAAGGGAGGATGATGCTTAAAAAAGAATGTAAATATCCTCCAACTCCTACATTGTATTGGAACATAAAATTTTCATGCTGTCCCAGAAATAACAGTTTTTTGTAATCGAATTGAAAAACATTCACACTTTTCTCAAGATTCACAATACATATTATCACAAGAAAATTTTGTGAATTTCTGTCATAAAGCAAACAGCTTAATTTTATCTAAAAAAATCCCAACTCTGTTTTACCACTGAACATTTTTTTTTCTTTTACATAGCAACGTTAACTTATTTATGACTTAATGATGCTTCTTTAAAAAGTGATTCCATGTTTTTAGGAAAATCCTGTGTTGGGGATTTTGAAAAGAAAGGCACAAATCCCAGGTTTTATCCTAGCTTTACAATTATTAGATATATAATTTTGGGTAGTTCAATGATTTAACAGATTTTTTTTTCTGTGCCTGTAAAAATGGAGAGTATTAGTCTGATAACTCATTTGTTTTCTACAATTCAGAGTTGATAAATGTCAATAATGTAAAAAGCATCATAGAAAGTGTGTATTTTATTTTTAGAAATAAAAGCCAAATCAAAGAAACAAAGTCTCTTGAGATATTCTCTTACCAATTTGAAATTTGTTTCATGCCATCAGCCATCTAAAGAAATCCACTAAAGAGCAGGTGAATGCTGTGGCCATTTCTGATGTAGAGGCCAGAGGAGCTTTTCCAATGAATGCAGAGATCTTTACAGAGTACAGTGGAATGAGGATCCATGAGCCCTGTGTTCTCCTGATAAGGACAAAAAGATGATAAGTCACACCTCCTTAATATCCAGATGAAAATGGACATGTGTCCTCTGTGTATTAATGTTCAGGAGAAGAGGAATCTCATAGAAGTTTGTGATAACGGGAGTAGGGTGAGGGGGACATCTTTGGAAAGGAAGAAAGTGTAGAATAATCCTAAATCAAGTTCTGAATGATAAGCTCTGTCTGTTCCCTAACAAGAGACAATAGATTCAGATAAATCCAGAGTCCATTCTTGTTGGAGTTAGATTATTTTGTGTCCTTTATGAACTCTCTGTAAAATTAATGAGTCCCCAGAGAAGAGGCATTCCCCAGTTGTGTCCCTTAAACTGAACTCAACTAGAGAACAGATTTAAGAAGAAATCCCTCAACTTGATCTACTAAGCAAGA